TACCTATTAGAACAGCTAAGATTAAAAATAGTGACTTCCCCAACTTTTTCTGAATTTTGGGCCATCAACTCTCCATTATCTTGTTGGCCTTTGATGCCTTCTGACAAATTAAAAAAATGTCTCCATCTTTCTTCTGCCAGATTTTATCCCAAATTGCTATTGTATTATTACTGGAAGTAGAAGGATACGAAACATTATTTTGGCCATTGTATTTTAAAGTTTTCATATCATTTTATCCAAAAACTTCGCCTATTATCACATTGATCCTCTTTAATTTAGAAACTATAAGTATTTTCAAAAACATTTCCTTTCGAGGGGGTTGTTAAATAATGAATCAGATGATCTAAAACAATAACAAAAACAAAAAGCCAAAAAACACTGAAAATGACCAAAACGCCCCTCAATAGGTGAATGGTTAAATAATAAGCTACTACATCCATGCCATGGAATAGTATTCAGAATTAAAAGGAATAAACTATTGATAGACACGACTTGGATGGATCTCACGTTCTGTTGATTTGTCTTCATTCAGGCTGAGATTTTCCTGATTCTCAGCATAAGTAATTTTTGCTGGAACCTGGACATTTTTGGTATTATGTTATGAGATTCTGGATCATATTTAAATGATCTTTGTAAGCCTGCCTTCTCTGACACTGCTTTGGTGAGGAAAGAGTGGTGTTGCCACGTTGGGGTGGAGGTCCAGGTTTTCCACGGGGCTTCCCTTGACCTGGAGGGAGACGGGGGAGGGCTCCTCATGCCTGCAGGGGCAGGGTGAAAGTCCTCCTCTGTCACCACCCTACCAAGGAGATGGAGGGATGCCTTCTTTTGCCAGGTAGGGGAAGTCGAGGCCCCTGACTCGGGCTTCTCTGATGCCACCCTGGGAGGTTACACCTTACTGTTTGGAGAGGGAAGAAGCCTAGACTCCACTCAGCCATTTTGGTGGAGGTGCGAATTGGGCTGTAGTTTTGTTTGTGGCTTTTGACTGAAAGCAGAGTGGTTATTGTCTAAAATGCTCTGTCTTGCTTGGCTACACCTTTCCTGGTCCTTTGGCTAGAAAAAGCAGACTTTTTCTGGGACCTTTTAGGTTTGCACTCATTTGTGTTTCCAAATTCCCAACTTTTCCATCACAAGTCCAAGATATACAAAAAGAAAACCCAGGAAGTTCATGGCTGTTTCATTCCTCAGGTCCCGAGGTCCCTGCTGGGTCTGCCTTCTTTTTTTCACCCTTTGGAGTATTCTTGTATTTGTTTCATGTATATTGCCCAGGGTTTTAAACCGTACTTAGCAGGACATATAGAAAAAATACATTCACTCCATTTTTCTGGAAGTGAAAGTCACTGTCACCCTTGAGGTTTTTATTATGCTCCCTGACTCATCATACCTATATGTCACTGCTAAGTGGAAATTAATTATTTGTGTGTGTGTGTGTGTGTTTTTTTTACCAGCCAGACGTCATGCTCTTCTATGCATGGGTAACAGTGGAGTCTGTAGAAACTCTTGCAAAAAGGATGAAAGGCCGTACTTCTATTGCAGAAGCTATCAACCATGCTGCCTCCAGTCCTACATGAGGATAAGCCTTTTTGGCGCAGAAGAAAATAATGACTGGTCCTATGAGAAACGCTGGCCAAAAATACCTTGAGTGCTGGTGATCACCATTCTTAAGCTCTCTGGGAACCCAGACCTTCTGTCAACCCCCCCTCATTAAAATTCATGCATCTCCTACCCGTGTCTGTCTTTCATCCACTGGACATCACAGTAAGAGATTGGATTTTGCGTGGTGACATGTCTGTCCCATTCTGGATACAGCCCTATGTGAGAGAAGGCTGGAAAACTGGAGTGACAATTAGGGAGGGGCTAGACAAGCCAATGAGGATGGACAGAGAACGTATTTGAGTCCAGTGAAGGAGAGTTGAAGGGTTCAGGCGGGATCATGACTTAATCTGTGCTCCGTTGGACTCAGAGGGGGACCGGAACCAGGGGGATGGGTGCACAGCTGGCAGGTGGACATCTTGCAGGCAAATCTGGCTTAGTTCAGGGAAGAACTTCCATGGCAGAACCAACAGGGCTGTCGTAATGCAGAATAAGCTGTCTTAATTTCAAGTTGTGGGGCTGAGGGTTATGTTTGGTGGTTATTGCCGAAGGAATTTGAATGTTGGATGCTGTTGATGATTGTCAAGATCCTTTAAATTCTTAAAAACCTAGGCGGCTTCTGCTCTTAATTACAACCAACGCTAACTTTTTAAATGTAAAATTCTAATTTTACTTTTTGTGTCTTACCTCCCACTAATATTTTATTTCTTTCTTTATCTTTGGTTCCAAATTTTGTCAAAAGTAGAGTAGCCACACTTGCGCCCACTACCTTTCTCTATTTCTCTGACTCTCCTCAACTCATTACAATTTATTCTTGTGCTTGTTGTTCTATTGAACTGGCTCTGGTCAAGGTCACCTGTGGACCTCCTTTTGGAAAGTTTTAGGATATTGTTCAACTTGTATCTCAATCTGCCTCTGGGCAGCATTTCCACCACAGTTTATTCCCTCCTTGAAAACCTGAACTTGCTACGCTTCTGTGACCTCACTCTTTCTCTGTTTTCCTCCTAATGTTCAGGCTGCCCATCCTCCATCATCTTTTGGGGTTCCTCTTTTGTCATTTGTTCCATTGGATTTCTGTGGGGTCACTCTTCTCTTCTGAGAATAAAAATGCTCCACATTCCTAGGAAAAGGCTGGCAGTTCTATAGCCATGACAACAAGTGAATACCTTGAAAAGTTTTAAACTTTTTTCATTGATCCATGAAAACTTCCTTCAGTGAACACACCTCTGAAAGCGGAAGGACAGCATTAGGCTTTGAAAATCAGCCAATCAGCTCTCTGGGTTCACTTCCGTGTACACCCTTCTAAGTTGTCATCAACCCATTACCACATCTGTAACCAACACATCTCCCCCCAAATTCTTCCCCCACGTGCTATATAAGTTCAACACTTTGCTCTGCTTAATGAGCCTGTGACTGACCAGCATAGCTCTCCTATTCTTAAGAAAGAATCATTTCAGCATTTTGGTTTTAGATATTGAGCAATGGTTTCATCCTTTGACAATTACCTTTTTTTCTCCTTCCTTCAATGCTGTCACTCATCCCAACAACAAAGTTTATGATCTGGAAAAAAGTGTTGGTTCTGGATCTCTGTTTCAGGAAGAATACTGGTCTTAGAACCCAGGCTGACCCTCCCACTGAAAACAATTTTAAAAACTTAGTTAAAATACACAACAAAGCTTCTTAATCATCCTTGACCTTGCAAGAATTTAAGGCCAAGTATATTAAGGCCAAGTGAAGGCAGGCGCTCTTCTGAAGGCAGTAACTGAAGCTTGCTTTTGTCTTAAAGGCATTTGCTGAATCAGGTGAACTTGAGCTTTTGTTTCCATGGCTTTGGCAGAGGTGGGAGTGAGCAGGAGAGAGGAGATGGTACCTAGGATCTGAAAAAATATGTGTCTGGTAGGAGACCCCCTACATAAATCCCAATCCTGAACGTGTTATATACACTGTGCGAGGATAAACCAGATATATTCCTTCTTTTTCAACAGATGTTTCCAAGGAAAATTGCCTGGTTTTGAACTCTGGTACTCAGTAAATAGAAAAAAAAAAATCTCCACTGAGAATTTATAACCTTAAGCTGGACCTCGTAGAATCTCTTAGCCTGACTTCACAGTACATGGGCAGGAAAATGGCTGCTTTCACTTGAGGTGTCTACTGTTCTATAAAGAAAGCCTTAGTGTCTTAGTGGTTACTCTGATAGATGCAAAGATTTAGAATTTTGATTTTGACCACTTATGCTGCCATTAAGAGGCAGGACTAACATAAGGGATGCCTTTGATATCCCAAGGCACCTATTGGGGAGGCAGAAGGACACACGAAAAGATCAGTGTTGGAATATTTAACTTAGTGATCAAGGCTGCGGATAGGTCACCAGCAAATGAGAAACGCTAAAAATGGGTTAAAATCTGTCGTACAAATAATTTGACATTTCAAGAAGAGCACTGAAGAGTTTATCATTAGAAACGGTGAAAATCTCAGACTTCTTTACACAGCTGTTTCTATCTAGAATTACACATGGGATGGGGGAAGGGTCACCACGATGCTTTCAGTGCTTTAGCTCTGATCTGGTTCATCACTCTGAGCGGTGATGAAACTCTCTGGGCGAGAGATCTCAGTTGTGTGTACTACCTCAGACTGCTTAACTGTGACTTTCTCGCTTTTTACTTCCACGTGGTGTGTAGTGGACACTAGTGTTAAAATTACGCCAAATGGTACTGATGTCAAATCGTACGAGCGTGTGGGAGGTGTCTCAGGAACTTGCCAGTGCCTTTTACTGTCCGGAATGCAGCAGACTCGATGATTTGTACACATTTCTTTCATCGCTTCTTCATCTTTGCATTGTTTCCTGCAGTGCCCAGATTTGTTCCAGCATTTTTTTTCACCACCATAGGCTGGGTAACAAAAGGAAAGACCACTGATTTCACTGGTGCTCTCAATTTTGCCAGCACGATGGTATATCTGGCATCCTGTAACCACACTGTGGGTCGTAATTAGACTATGGCTGCACCCCTCCTGCCTCTGGCCTGGTAAATACCATGTTTCTAAAACTGTCAGTTTCCGACCTCCCACCTGCCCGTTTTTAACTTTTCTAAAAGTGAGACGAATCTTACCATCAATGAAAAGAAATTTGCTTGTCATAAGGAATCAGGGCCAGTTATAATGAAGCTACCTGGGCATGTGTAAAGCTACCTGCATAAAGAAAGTTCATCTTGCTGCTACTGTGATTAAGTTATTTGCATTGGTCATATCCTATGTGATGAGATTTCTTTGACTACCTTCTACTGCAAAACATGCATCCAAATGAGTATATGAAATACATTTGTGTAGCTTAAAGACTAATAATAAAATGAGTACCATGTGCCCATGCCTTGATTAAGAAATAGAACATTGGCCGGGCGCGGTGGCTCACGCCTGTAATCCTAGCTCTCTGGGAAGCCGAGGCGGGCGGATTGTTTGAGCTCAGGAGTTCGAAACCAGCCTGAGCAAGAGCAAGACCCCGTCTCTACTAAAATTAGAAAAAAATTAATCGGACAACTAAAAATATATAGAAAAAATTAGCCAGGCATGGTGGCGCATGCCTGTAGTCCCAGCTACTAGGGAGGCTGAGGCAGGAGGATCTCTTGAGCCCAGGAGTTTGAGGTTGCTGTGAGCTACGATGACGCCACGGCACTCTAGCCCGGGCAACACAGTGAGACTCTGTCTCAAAAAAAAAAAAAGAAATAGAACATTATCAGAACCTTAGAATAGCGCAGGTATTCTGATGTGATAGGCTTCATTTGCTGAGGTTTTAGGCCAGTGCTTCTTGAACTTTAATGTGCATGTGAATTATGTAGAGGTCTTGTTCAAAGGCAGATTCTGATTCAGTTGGTGGGGCAGGGTCTGTGTTTCTGCTTTTCTAACAAATCTCTAGGTAATGCCAAAACTGCTAGTCTGTGGACCACACTTTCTCTAGCAAAGTATCAAGCCATAAAAAAACCTCGATAAGTCCCACATGTGCAATATCATACTTTCTATGTTTTTTAACCAAATGCAATGAAATCAGAATAAAAACTCTTATATTTAGAAATTAAATAATGTGGTAAAGAATAAAAGATAAGAAGAGGAGGAATAACGTGAGAGATAATGAAGTCAGAAGTAATGAAATCAGAATACTTCTGTAAAGAATGACTAAGAAAAAAGAGAGGATAATAAAAATAAAGAAAATCTATAGTGACATAGTGAAAAAAACAGATCTAGCATATTAAAAATAAAAGAAGAGAACTATCAACAACTGTATACCAATAAAATAAAAAACCTAGATGAAATGGGTAAATTCCTAAAAAAAATTCCGTGGGGAGAAAATACAAACTTGAATAAATCAGTAAGTGTTAAGAAATCAAAACAGCAGTGGAAGACCCTTCTTCCCCAAAGCCTTAGCCCTGGATAATTTTTTTAAATTGGGTAAAATGCACATAAAATTTACCATCTTAACCATTTTTAAGTGTGTCGTTCGGTGGCATTAAGTGCATTCACGTCGTTGTGCTGCCATCGCCACCACTTACTCGCAGAACCCTTTTCACCTTGCAAAACTGAAACTCTGTCCCCGTTAAATAGTAAATCATTTCCTCCTTCCCTCAGCCCTTGGCAACCACCATTCTCTCTTCTGTTTCTATGAATCTGCCTACTCTGTGTATCTCATATGAGTAGAATCATACAGTATTTTTCGTTTTGTGACTGGCTTATTTCACTTAGTATAATGTCTTCAAGGTTCAACCATGTTTTAGCATGTGTCAGAATTTCCTTCCTTTTTAAGGCTAACATTCCGTTGTATTTATATACCATATTTTGTTTATCCATTCATCCATTGACAAATGTTTGGGTGGCTTCTACCCTTTGGCTATTGTGAATAAATGTTGCTATTTTAGAATATTTCAAAGGTGAGTTTTAACTTCATAGAAAATTTAAGTAGCATATTATATAACATGTTCCAGAAAATAGAAAAACAAAAAAGGAAAGCTAACCGGCTCATTTTATGAGGCTAGTGTAATTTTGGTTCTAAAATCAGAAAATTATAAATCTGTTTTCTTTATAAATACAGATGTGAATATATAAAGTATTAGCCAACTGAATTTGATGGTGTATTAAAATATATCATGATCAAGTAGGGTTTAACCTCAAATGCAAAATATTATCCAAAATCAGAAAATCTATCAATGAAACTCACCACCTTTATAGAACCAAGGTGATAAATCATAGAATTATCTTGCTGTAAAAAACATGATTTGCTTATTTTTCATGAAAACTCTAGGCAAAGCAGGGACAGAAGGGGATTTTCTTAA